TGAGAATTCCCAATCAGTCCAGAGGTAGGATTGCACAAGAGTGTGTGTGTGTGTGTGTGTGCGGGTGTGTGTGTGTGTGTGTGTGTGTGTGTTTGGGGCAAACCCTAAACCCTAAACCCTATTCCTGGAAAAATGACAGGTCTCAACTCTTCACCGTAAAATCTTGCATCCTCAGTCACCCCCTATCGGCTAGAGTCCCAAAAACATACGACCCATGCTGCCCTCCCCATATCCCATTTCCACTTAGGGTATAGGACCAGAAGCATGAGATCCAAACAGTCGAAGTATGTAGGTACTGCTTATGAACTTCAAGGACAAAAACAAGTAGGCATATTTTGTAAGCTTAGATTTAGATTCCCAGAGTTATGTGGGTAGCTCTCAAAAATTAGGGTCCCATTTGGTACACCTAAATATTAGCTGCCGTAGAATAACATATACCCAAAGGGGCCCATAATTTTGAGAACAACCCATGCATAAAGCCTGAACAGTATGCCAACGAGTGGCTCGCCGCCCTCGCGGCGCCGTAGGCGCAGGGAAGGTAAGGAAGCAACTATCCTGAGACTCGTCCGGCATAGTGAAGGGGTGCTTACAAAGAGTTCAGGGTCCCTTTCTCACTTTAAAATGAATGCTCGAATATTTGGGTACCCTCAACTCCATAATTTGGGAGTAACCTGGTAGGCCTTAGAGTCATCGATGCCATGCTTAGGCAGTACATGGGGATACTATAGTATAGGGATAGTCCCATAATTGGAAGGAATTTTACCTTCGCAATACAATGGATACAGTAACTAGACTTACCGTCACAAAGCGGAAAACTGTCGTGAACGTGGGTGACAGCGTGGAGGTTGTGTGTGTGTGTGTGTGTGTGTGTGTGCGTGACGTGGTGCTTTGATTTGTTGAAACATCGAGTTCCCCATTCAAACATCGAGTCCCCATTCGCTCACAAAACACAGGTAAGCTGCCGTTGGGGTGGTTTGAGCAACATAGGAGCCATAGTATCCCCCTTAATAACACCTATATAATAACGCCTATAGTAGTGCCCTATAAATGACCCCTTATTTAACCTCCTTTAAGGAGCTTAGACTATGGCTCATGTAAGCTGCATCAGGCTCATGGCCCCAAATGTCCAAACGTTTCTTCTTCGGCTTCCCCGAAAAACCTCGTGCCCAAAGTCCAAAGCAGTCAGAAAATTCAGGGTCCCACCCTAAACTCTAAACCCTAAAGCCTCCCTAAGCCCTAAACCCTAGAGCCTAAAGCCTAAACCCTGAGCCCTCCATATCTGGCTGCCCTACCTCCATTGATCAGTCATTTAGCCTCAAGCTGAAGAAATGAAGACTATCAGGCTACCCAGAGTATGTGGAGAGAGCTGGCCTCTTCTGCTTTGTTTACATGAGTAGTATTTTGGTTTGGTGGTTTAACCTAGTAAGATAATATTCCTTATATAAAATACTATACCCAATAGGAGGATATAGTCTTACCCTAAACCCTAAACCATTGGGTACATAGTATCCCCAAATAAGATACTACTCAGGTTGTGGCCCCATGTGTTACCTACTTTCGAGGTCCAGGTACTGTAGGAGCCTCAGAACTTCGAATGGTGGCGGTTTAGGGTTTAGGGTTTAGGGTGTTGCATCTTTGTGCGACTATACAAGGTTGAGGAAGCACATCGACATGAAGCAAAACACATCAGCAAACAGCCCAATGAGAGTTTACTCCACAATCTCCTGGCAACCTCCAGATATCCCAAGGGTCCCTGAATCAGCATTGAGCATACATCAGCATGACCCTAAACCTTTGAGCCAGCTTGGTGTTAGGTTGCAACCCTACACTTCGAGCCCTGAGCCCTAAGCCCTTCACCAGGCTCTGCACCCTGTGACTCTTCGGTTGGGCTTGGAACTCGAGATTTTTGGGGGCCCAAGCCGCCCTATCAGTATATATTTTTCTGGTTCTTGTATGGTAGATACTTCCCTGAAAGGTCTAAGTGCCCATATAACGGGGCATTAAGCCCCCCCCAAAAAAAATATCTGAATAGTGTTTGGTGCGTAAGTCCCATGCGGGTACGTGGACCCTCAGCGCTTGGGGCTCGGGGATTGCCTAGCATTGGGACCCTGAAGTACTGCAAGGGAACCATGATTTGAGTTAAACATGATTTGAGCTATAGTCTAAACTCCTAGTATCCCCTTAATAAGCCCTGTAGTAATCCCATATATAATCCACTATATAACCCCCCTTTAAGGAGTTTAGACTATAGCTCATTTGAGTTTAGCAGTGTAAGGCAAAGGGCTTACCAGCTTCAAGCCCGTAATCAACCTGCAGAAAAAGGGGCGGGCAAAAGCACAGGAATTTCCAGACGCCGGACATCATGGCTTGAGCAAAGCGGTCCAAGCGGTCTGAGCTTTTGGAATTTGTGCCGCTCTAGAGCATAAGCATCTGAGACCTAGGGAGAAGTGTTCAAGGTGCTCGAGTTCAGTGTACGGCTTCGTTGATTCAGGTTCAGCGCTGGCAGGTGTTGCTGGGGATTTCGAGGTCATGTCGCATGTCAGCTAAAGCTTGTTTGAGCAGTTCAAGATGTCACGCGCGCTTTTCGCGTGGAACCTTACTTCGTGTCGAGCAATACACGTGACCATGGCACCTACATGATCAGTCCCCTGTTCATGAGCACCGTGTGCGTACAAGACACCATTTAGGAAGCCAGCTACGTCGACGACCCATGAGGAGCTGAATCTTCTCACCCACATTCTTTACACGGTTCATAGAAACTGTTGCATGAGCCTTTTGTACCTCATGCGTTGCGCAGTCTGGTATTCTGACAAATTACGACATATTACTACGTCGTGCAGGATTTCTAGACTCGAGAGCGGTGAAGGACGGGTTGAGGAAAAACTCGATACTTTACTTGCCACCGTCACTGAGACAATCCTAGACAGTTGGAATGAGCTCCAGCATTGGGCACTCACTAAACCTTCCTACTTACCGGCCTCAATCAGAAGCTGTGATAGTTTAAGATGTCTGTTTGGATTTATGGTTAGGGTCTAGGTCAGGGTCCTCAAAATGTGTGGGTTTCGGTTTTAGGGCCCGCGGCTCCAGCTGGAAGGACTTTCACGAATTTTCAGAATCCACGAAAGTCTGCTCATGCCTAGGAAATAGCGAGGAACCATGTACGAACACCACTCTAGTTCCAGCGATTTTAGCAGGCAGGCGCCTGAGTGTCAAAAACACCCTCCAGCTGGATGTCAAATTGCGACGCCAATGCTGACCTTGATGCTTTGCTCCAGTCTTTCTTTAGGATCTGATTAGAGAGACAGGGCAACATGTAGTTCCACTTGTGGGTGCCCACTATACTTTTGTCAGCAAAGCAGAACAAACCTCGGGAAGAACCACATAGCAACCTCTGGGTGGAGCAATGACCTGCGCAGCACTGATGGGCGGCCAACACTCAGACAAGACCGATCTAGAATGTCCTGCTGCAGTTTTCAGCATACAATGGCACCGTCACTTGCCTTGAAGATTTATATAGGGAGGTTCCAAAAAATGGACCCCTTTTGGAGATTCTAGAGGAAAAATCGTCACATTACTTCTGCGTATTCCCACGCTGCAATTCCTGCCAAACCATGATAACACTGGGAAGACATGTCCCAAAAGATTGTAGAGTGATGGGCTGCTGACGAATCACATGGGTTTGAAAAAGCTCTGCTGCTCAGCGGATACACCAGGATCAATCGGGTCTCAACTGAGACTTACGAGGGTCTGCTGTACCCTCCCGCAAGCTCAGGTACCCTAAGGGTCCAAGGACCCAAATAAGAAGGCTTTAGGTCCCAAATACCATTAGTATTGTTATAGTAGTTGAACCCTGAAACGCTGTTATTTGGGTCCTTGGACCCTTATGGGTATTCAAACTTTTTTGGCTCGAGGCTGCTGGGGGCAACTGTCCCACAGGATCTGTACCTGACACGGACGTGTCAAAGGTCTCCATGAACTCAGCGACTCGACCGGTTGCCTTGCTGTCTAGGATTAGGGTTTGGGGTTTAGGGTTTAGGAGTTGCCTACCCAAGGGCTCCAATGTAGTTCCTTTTTGGGTCTGTTATGGTTTTTGGGTAAGGGAT